TTTTTTTAAAATAAAAATAAAACAAGAATATACACATTAAACACATTAAATGACATTTTAAAAAGAAAAAAATTTCATATAAACAACTCAAATTAAAAATTAACTAACAGAGTAGTGCAAAAGAAAATAAATACGAAAATAAATCAATCCTCACAAAAGGTAAGAAGTGATGAAAAGAAATAAATTAACAACATAGCTCAAAGCCTTATAAATCTCCCTTGCAGTGCAAGAAAGATCGAAGTCTTATTAATATATATAGAAAGCTGCGTGGACTGCACCACAGCATTAGATGACATGAAAATAGGAAAATATATATTCTATAATTGCTAACATGGCAAATTCGTGGTGGGGTGAGGAAATGAATGGAAGGGATTTTACGGATTATGGGATTAACTAATGAGGAAATGCTAAGCACGCATGGGAGGTAGGGTAATTTTTGGAGTAGGAACTATGGGAATGTTAGGAAGTGGTGGGAGAGCCACATGTCCAGGCAATGGAGGCTGTGGAAGAGTTAAGGTTGATGGAAGAGGTGGCAATCCAGTTGTTGTAGGCAATGGAGGCAGTTGAAGATTTAGGATGGATGGCAAAGGCGGCAATCCTGTAATAATAGGCAAAGGAGGCAATAATGGCTGTGGAAGATTAGGGATGGACGGCAAAGGCGGCAATCCTATAATAGTAGGCAAAGGAGGCAAAGGAGGCAATAATGGCTGTATGATAGCATTATTGTAATTCCGTTAAAGTTCTAATTTCTAATAAGAAAAATTATTCATAAACTATTTTTTTTTTATAATTATTTTGTATAACCTTTCATTTATTTGTATAATTGGTTTTTTTATTTAGAATCTATAATATTAAATATATTTACTTATTTAATTATATGTGAAAATATATAAAATAATTATATAAAAAATTATTTTTATATTATTATCCTTTTAATAATTTTTAAGTATTTTAAATTTGGTGTGGGCCACATGCCACGTGTGTAGTCCCATGCCGCCAAATTCACGCCTACATGGCGCTACGAGGAAAAGGTCTGACAAAGCATTAACGGAAGCCGTTAATTTTAGCCTCGTTTCCTCAAGTCGCTTTGTTCATGGGCAAAACTCCTTGTATTATAAGGCAAAGAGAAGT